GATCTGGCGTCGATTTCATCGAAGACCTTGCCGGTGCCGTATGATAATCTTTCAGTTGTACCTGATTTGTCGCCCGCTATTCCCCGCGTGTCTATTTCGATTCTTTCGATATGTCTTAAGTATGTTGTGCTTCCTGGCAAGGAGCGGGAGGCGGCGACTGTATTATTGGCAAGACTTGCTCTGCGGGTAGATATGCAGCGACTGGGACTTTTGAGCTCTCTCATGCGGTGGGCGCTGGATGTTCTACGCCCAACGGCTGAAAGTACGGCGCCGCCGCCAGTATATACTTGTATCGGAGTGCTTTCGTTTATCTCTAGGCTTGGGGTTTCTGGACAAGTTGGGGATTTAGCACCATTCATCGTGCCGATATTTAATGGGATCCTGCAAATATCCGAGGGAGAGTCGCCCCTTGCTGAGACAATTAGGTCCTCTGCATCTGCCAGGAAGTCGATGATAAAGATTCTGCGGACTATGACGACTCTGGTGATATCGCTGGAAGAGAGCTCTGGACGCCACCAAATTCCGGAAGATACGGCGTCGATGATTCTGGAGAATGCGATCGATTACTTCCTGGTCTCTCTTGCTGATAAAGACACACCGGTACGATTCGCAGCGAGCAAGGCACTTAGCATGATAACCGTCAAACTCGACCCGAACATGGCTTCTGATGTCATAGAGGCAGTCCTTGGTTCTCTAGATGAGAATATTCTCTATGAGAAGCAGGATGGCACCCTAATAACGCCGTTCGAAGCCCAAAACGTCGACGTCAAGTTGCGGAAACGTAACATAAGCGCCGTAGACCCTCAACGGTGGCAGGGTCTTATCCTCACTCTTGCGCATTTACTATTTCGCCGCTCGCCACCAACCGCTCTACTTCCCCATGTGCTTCAGTCACTGGTATCTGGACTAGACTTTGAACAACGGTCATCGACGGGAAGTTCTATCGGAACCAGTGTTAGAGACGCTTCGTGCTTTGGAATCTGGGCCTTATCTCGAAAATACACGACAAGTGAACTACTCGACCTCGACGCCCAGGAGCTGAAAGTAACGACAAACCAGGAAGACGGAAGCACATTGCAAGCTCTTGCGATAGAGCTCGTCTGTGCCGCATGTTTGGATCCTTCGGGGAATATTCGACGAGGCGCTTCTGCTGCATTGCAAGAGCTCATTGGTCGCCATCCCGATATGATTTTTGAAGGTATCCCCTTGGTTCAGGTTGTTGATTATCATTCCGTTGCTCGCAGGTCGAGGGCGATGATTGAGGTTGCCAAAGGTGCTTCAGATATAGGAATTGTCTACTGGAACCCCCTCGTGAATGGCCTTCTACGATGGAGAGGTATCGGCTCTCCTGACGCAGAATCGCGACGGGTGGCTGCTCAGGCCCTCGGAGATTTAAGCCTTCAGGAATCTTACAAAAGTTTGAGCGTATTGCTTGAACGGCTTGTGGAACAATTATCTACGACGCCGTTACAGGCTGTTGAGGCAAGGCATGGTCTATTTTTATCTATTGCTGCTACTATTGATGCATTCATCACCCATAGAAAAAATGGGGGTGGCAAAACATATGCACCTGAGTATACCAAAAAGCTCGTGGCTCAAATTACAGGCCTTTGGAGCGTTGTCTTCGATTCCGCTATAGCTCCCACGCCAGAAGTCCTGACGGATCCTACAATGCGACCTGACCTCACTGCTGAGGCTTGTGCGCGCCTTATCTCTTCTCTTTCTCGCTCCTGCGCCCCGGAGGAGCAACAAAATGATGTACACCCCACGCTCTCTCATCCATCCCTTCGATTGCTCGATAGAGCCATTGAAGTCTTGCTTCTATGTATGTTTCGACCAGACGATATCCCGATTGAAGCTTCATCGCAAGCGGCATCCGACTTGTTCATGCTACTTCCTAACTCTAGAAAATCGGAAGTTGTGCAAAAGTGGTTCGGCAATATCCACGATAGCTGGCGGTTGGTAACTGGTCGTGGGCAAATTGCGGCGTTGGGGGCGGTTTTCAAACGAATGCCGAAATCTGGGGAGGGGAGGCAGTTCATTATAGATAGGCTCATCGATTGTACTGGAGCTGAAGAGAAAATTGCTAAACGGTCGTCAGCTGTGAACTGTCTTGCTACTGGTGTGTTGCCGGAGATAGGTATGATAATAATATTCCTTTCATGAGCGTTAAGAGCTAGCCTTTGGCTGACATGTTGCGACACGACAGATGATGTGGAATCTATTTCCGGGCACTTCAAGGCCTTTCTTAACGATTACACGACGGACAGAAGAGGTGATGTCGGTTCGTTCATTAGGCTTGAAGCAATAGAGGCCGTTAATATCATTATTGGATCGAAGGTGCCATCTGGCCCAACACCCGCGCACCTAAAGGACTTGATGAGCTGTGTTGTACGCCTTGCAGCAGAAAAGCTTGACAAAGTTCGCTTTCACGCTTGGAATTGTCTACAGTCCTTCTGGGAGATATCCACGGACTTGCCTCCTTTAGCACAGTAAGTCCCCCAAGAGTTTCGAAAAAGAAAAAAAGAAAACAATTTTGATATAAGAGCACTAACGAAGTCCTAGAAAATACGAGCACTTCAGCGAAGTCTCCTCAGCAGACTATTTTTTACAGCTTTTCAACCTACTCCAGGTTGACTGGCTTCGTCATTCTCTTTCGAGAGGCCTGGTAACCTCCGCTACTACAGGCACTGAGGTAGTAGTTCGATCCGCCCGCTTCGCACTTTTGCAATACATCAACAACCATGATGAGCAGCCGAGGAACGTTATATGCGTTAACCTTATAGAGGATTGGCTATCGATACTGGAGAGCGATAACGATGACGACCGTTACGCCATCCCTGTTGTAGAAATGATTGCGTTTTTGCTCGATAATTGCTTCTTACATGATTCCCCGGATCCAAATATTAAGTGAGTATTTTTCACCTTATATCAAGTTAGCAACGTTAGTGTGACTAATTCTTTCCCTCCTTTTTTTAACCCAAACAGCTATCACAAACTCTTTGTCTTGGTTCAAAAGTTCCATTTTAAATCGGCCAATATGGCCCGGATTGAAGCTGCAATAAAGATATACGCACTCCTTTGGAGGATAGGTGTTATCAAGGGAGATGCCATGAAGAAGTTGACGGGGATGCTCCTGCATCCGTATCCCAAGGTAAAAATTCCTATTTCCTCTTTCCTCTGATCGCTATTTTTTTTCCTGCTAACTAAAAATAGATCCGCACCATTGCCGCGGACTGTTTATATATGGAGAGTCACGTCGAGGAGATGAAGGTTGAAGATTGGACAAGTACTCCAAAGCAATTGAAGGCGAAGGTTGATAATTTACGGGTGGTTCTCACTAATAGTTTAGGGATATAGCTGGGTATAAATAGACATTACGAAAATATAATGGTTTTTTTACGATGTTTCTACATTCACGAATAAGCTGGTGAAGATAATATATATATATGTATTGTAGGACACTAGGGCAAAAGAGTTCGATCACCACCAGACTTGACTGATAGTTAAGGTATATGTTAACATATATAATATTATACCAATTAAATGTGAGGTGGATTACTGTCAACTAGTTTGATTGTGGGGACTTGGAATATATATATATTTGAAACCAACCCAGTTTACATACATCCGGTCAGTGCCAAGATAGTGTTTTATACCACAACACAGCAAAAAATATATACCAGCAAAAGTCGAACGGAGTGCATCCACATCATCATGTAAAAAAAGCCGAATAAAAATATTTCACATAACACGATGTGGTCTCTATACCCGCAACATCAAAAATAATAATAATAATAAATAAAAAAGAAAGATGTTAATGCATCATCCGTGAATCAAACAGCAATATCAATCAGAGCTAACCCAATTCTTCAAATTCTGCTCTGGCAGTGGTGGCGCCCGGTGCTACTCGGCCTATTGATCTGCAGCCTCCATTGCCTCATCTTCCGTCTCGCTTGCTATCTCGTCTGCTGGTGCATCTTGCCTCTTTTTTCTCTTGCCCTGGGGCTTTTCCAACTGCATTTTTTGGGGAATACTGGTATAGTGTGAAATACCCTTTCTGTAGCATGTCACCGCTGCATTGTATACCAATATTGTTTCTTTCATCAGCTGAGTGAACTCAGAATCCCCCGTTTCAAGTAATCTGTTGACAGTCTCAAAGAATGATGACAGTAACGGGCATGCTCCTGGAATCCAAATAGGTATAAAAGGCGTGAAAAGAAAAGCTGACATATGATCGGTGCGGTCAGAGAGGCGGATTCTCTTTCAATTGTCATGGGTGGCTGAATTGACAGGTGAGGGTACAGCTGCTGTATTTGTCGATTCACATGCACCGCCATTTGACCAGTGGTCAGAGTGGATTTTTGACTGCCTTCAGTGCTTGACAAATCTCAAAGCAGCAAAAATGTGGGTTTGAGCTAGAGAATATAGTTAATATCAAATATCTTACTTCTAGCACACTTCTGCTGTAAACTGACCTCCTTGTTTCTGAAAGAGAATGGCCTTATTTCAAACTCTCATATGAGGCTGTTGACTGCTGAAGTAGGCATGCCTAAGCCAAGAACAATAGGCCATGTGTGTCCTATTACCGCCCACGTTTGAGTATCTGGATAACCGGATGTCTTAGGCTTGGGGTATAACTGTCGGATGTCCTACCTCAATATACGACAGAATATCCTCCGTCCAGTTCCGGATGCAATCGCATCATGAAGGTTGTCGATATCAGAGGTTGAAGTCTCACGGCCTATAGAAATCCTCCTGCCCGACAATTTAAAATGATATCGGATGCACACAAGCCTCTCAGACTGAGAGTCTCAGTGTTCAAAGGTGTTGCGGGAGGAGGCTTTTAATGAACGCGCCCACGGGCGCGCAGAGCTCTGTATTCACACCAAGACCCCCAAAAAGGAAATTCACCACCTTTTGCCCTGCAAATGACTGGGGTTTTCATCATATATTTGCTTCGCTTCACTCCGCAAATAAATAAAAAAATAAATGAATGATGCATCATCCGTGAATCGAACACGGGCCTCATCGAGTCACGTGACTGATTAGTTAATCAGCTGAATGGCAACGATGAATTCTACCACTAGACCAATGATGCTGTTCTTGTTATGAAGGGAAATAATACAAAAGCCGAATAAGAATATTTCACATAACACGGCGTGGTCTCTATACTCGCAACATCAAAAATCTCTCTCTTTGTTATAGAAAAACCAACTTTTCTGTGCAAAATGCCCTGTAACATGACCTCACATGATGTCACATGCATCTCATCAAAATCTTGTCTTCATACTATATGATTGTAGAAGAATATACTCTGTAGAGGCAGTAGTGATGATGAGAGAGATAGAGAGAGTAAGAGTGATGATGATGAGAAGTAGAGAATGAAAGAGAGAGTAGAAGTGATGATGATGATAGAGAGAGTAGAGAAGATAGAGACAGTGATGATAGTAGAGAGAGTAGAGAGTGAAAGAGAGAGTAGAGACCTCTGTAGAGGCAGTAGTGATGATGAGAGAGATAGAGAGAGTAAGAGTGATGATGATGAGAAGTAGAGAATGAAAGAGAGAGTAGAAGTGATGATGATGATAGAGAGAGTAGAGAAGATAGAGACAGTGATGATAGTAGAGAGAGTAGAGAGTGAAAGAGAGAGTAGAGACAATGATGATGATAGAGGCAGTAGAAGATGAAAGAGAGGGTAGAGACAGTGATGATAGTGAAGACAGTAGAGTGTGAAAGAGACAGTAGAGGTGGTGATGGTGATAGAGACAGTAGAGAATGGGAGGGGAGGTAGGGGCAGTAGGGTAGGGGCTGTAGAGGGTGGAAGAAGGGGTAGAAGTGATGATGGTGATAGAGAGGGTAGGGACAGTGATGGTGGTAGGTGTTATGGCATGGGGCCCTGCCAGGCCCGAGGCCCTAGCGACTAGGCCAACAAAAAGACCTTAAGACGG